CAGAAATTTATTTTGAGGGTTGAAAAGGATGAGAATGTTGAACATTAATTTAAAGCACAGAAAACAACCAACCACCAACTGTGAGACACGGACCAACCAAAATTTTTTACTTGCATACTTATTGCTTCAAAAATACCAATGGATTAATCTCAATTTTAAACTCTCACCATCACAAAATGCATTTTGAGGGTTTACATGTGAATGTGAAACTTTACATCAAGAAAATATGAATAAGATCAGTAAAGTAAACGTATGTACGGTATGAAGACCCATAAATTTGATTAAATATAGTATTTTGAGTTTATGATGAAGTCTAAAGTATGTGTATTGGGTCTTATTCGTCACCTTATGCCAATTGATCGGCTTATATACCACACAAATTGAACTTCACCATGCGGTCCGATAGGACGCGCCTCAATGAGGGGGTGGGAAATTACCTGTTTTGGGAATCGAATTTTTAGTTGTTGACAATTTCTAACCTAACTACTAACCATTACCCTTGTTAATATATATATATATATATATATATACACCACACAAATTGGACATTTCCTCTGTTTTTGTTCACATACAAACAACATTTCCCTCCCCTACTTTGACTTTTCTTTCTAATTTGCAAATCCTTTTGATTTGAAAAACAGGTTTTTGTTAAACTAAGTTTAACTCACCAGTCACCACCGGGACAGTTGAAGACATGGCCATAGAAAAATTCCAAGTAAGGTGATAGAAAGGTGGTGCAGTTTAGACCTAAGTATATTTCATGAAAAAATTCAACTCTGCTAACATAAGCACCAAAATTTTCAAAAGCGATGCTGGCTTTTATTCTGCCTATGTTGATAAACAGAAAAACACCTAGCATCATTTATATGTTTTTTTATACATTTTTATTTTCATACTTAAAACAGTAGCAATCAGCTTACTAACAAAGTGTTTTAATTCGTAAAAGCTTGGGATTTCAATAATTGGCAATTAAATCTAAATGATGCGATATATTTAGGAAAAAATCAATAGTAAACAATTGTATTATTGACTTCCTTTTATCTCAATAATATACGAAACTTGAACATGAGTTTCTAATATAAAAGACTAGAACTAATTAGTATTATTTGGTGGAATAGTCCATATCATATTTAATTCACATATTTCTTCTCTTATTTTTCAATATGGGGTTTCCCACTTTAACAATTTTAAATTAAATTATCTTAATTTATCTAGTCTATATAATTTTTCATTCTAATTTCTTTGAGAAAATTGAGTGGTATGGTACATAAAATGTGAAAGGAAAGTAACTTGTGGCTTGTATTCAAAAAATTTAATGTTTTAAATTAAAATGCAAGATTAGAGCATTACTTATCACGATCATTAAAAAGATAAGAAACTAAAAGTCGATCTGCATTGCAAATTAAGAAGCCTACATAAAAAATGTATTGACCATGTGTCTAGCTAATAGTCGGCTCATTTAATTGTAAAATAAGTGAGATCTTCTATTCTACCTTATCATTACAAATTATTTAACATTAGACTATGTGTTAAGAATGATGGCTTCCCAAAAATAATTTATAACCAATATCATTGGAGACCTTAGACCATGTTCCAAAAAGCAAAAACCCAACGTTAAGCTTCCAAGTTTATTTCAAATTTTCAATTAAATCCCTAAATTTTTATTGAAACAAATAACCTTCTGAATTAATTGATCTGAGCAATTTAATCATTTTTCTTATAGTGGACTTAATACTAGTTTGTACTTTATTTGTGTGTATAAGATCAATATTCGTTACGTAGAAAATGATATATCAATATTTTATTTATACAAGTGATGCATAAATTAACAAACGTTAAGTTTGCCATAAAAAAAATGTGTTAAATTATCTTAATTGCCAAGTTTAATTAAGAACTTATTTACTTTAATAAAAGTTTAAGAGTTTGATCAAGAATCTTGGATAAGTTCAAGGGCTTAACCTAAGATTTTGCCTTCCACAAATGTCTCAAAAAATCCTTTTTTTTTAAAAAAATTTTTTGGACAATCAAAAATCTTGTATCTTCAGTGTCATAATTAATGGTTAAATACAACTAAAATCTTCTCTTAATTCATTGTTTCTTCAAACAGTATATTGAAGGTGCATTCATTCATGATTCATGATTGTGAATGGTGTAACTGACAAGCAAACGTTATGCTTTCTTATTGACGAGGTAGACGCTTAATTGGCCTAACTATAATGGTTTGTAAAAGTTATGTTGAAAGAAATCTTTTGCAAAAGTTTTAGAAACTTAAAATAATGAATTCATATAAAATAATTATAGATTTTTTTTAAAGTACATAATTGTTTCAACTCTCAAAATAAATTAAAAGATCTTAAATTATTTTATTTTATTTAATTAAAATTTAATTCAAAATTTAAAAATTCATCTTATTATATAAATGTTGATATTTAAATTTAGAAAATAAGTGTATTATAATAAATAATCGATTTCTAAATTTAAGTATCAATATTTAATATGGTAGATTTTTAAATTTTGAATTAAAATTTTAGTTTCTAAATATAAGTTGGAACTTTAATTTTTTTTAATTAGGACTAATATGTACCAATCTCAAAAATTTTTAAATTTGATAAAATTATCAAAAATAAAAAAAAAAAAAAAAAAAAAAAAAAAAAAAGAAGAGAAGAAGATCTACATCATCCGAAGTAACAGATTCAGGCTCTATTTAATTTAGTTTATTAAAAATAGCTAATAGTTGATATATAACAAATTATAATTGTTGTTACTTATAATGTAAATACTATTGCTCACACTTAATCAAAACCAATAGATGTTCCTGAACAACTAAACCATATAAAGCTTTAAAAAATTCTTAAAAATTGCCTATAACCTAATTTCAATTTTAGCAAAAAAAAAAAAAACTAATTTCCATTTTTTTATAGCAGAAATTATCTTTCAGGGTATGCACTAAACAAATATGTAATATTTTGTTCCTTCATTTTCCTACCTCAGTCTTTTCTCATGAGTTGAAAGTATCAAATCCTATCATATTAAGCAGTTAATTATTGAATTTATGTTCTAACTTTCGAAGCAAAAAATTATCATTAA